GTAGGGAAATCCAGGGACATTCTCATTTATCCCATTATCATCCATTTTGTAGATTGATTCTGAGGATGTAGGATAGCATTTTCAAGTAATTATGGTTCATTTAAGTTTTCTTCCATGAAACATGTCCTTCAGTTAAAAAAAAAAACCAAAGCCCACTCTTTCACTCACAAATTTAGGAAAACAAAACCACCTTTTCGTTGTCTTGTTTAGGATACTTGAGAAAAATTTCCAAAATCAGAAGCAGGACTATGAAAAGGAGATTGAATTACTCAAGGAAGAAATTAAGATTCTGAAAGTGGAAAAAACTCAGCTACAATATCAAATTCAGCAAGAAATTGTCATTCAGGATGGCTTGAAAATGGAAGTAGGACAACTTACAAAACAAGCACAGGTAAAGTATGATGCATTTCATTTTGGAGTCCTTGCTAGATAAAGCAAGTAGAGAATGTGGGTGTTTCATTTATACATTATCTTCACTAATTTTTTTATCTCCTGTGCATTTTTAGAAGAAGTTATAGTTAATTAGCTGTATTTGATACACCACTATGTTGCATTGTTTTCATGTAGTACACAATATGAGTAAGTTATTGCTCGCAGAAATAAGTGCATGTTTTGAAGAGTAATTGTGCCTGAATATTTATGCGTTTTTTTCTTCCTTTTTCCAGGAAAGTATTAGTTTCTCAGGGGATTTTTCATGAATGTAGTTTATAAACTGAACCTGAAAATAGTTCTTTTGTGTAAAGTCACATTTTTTTCTCTGAATCGGTTCCATGACACAAACACGTATGTTTTCACTATATCACATTACTGTTCTGCTCTGATGCCTGAGAACCAGATGCTTTAAGCACAACACGTTTTAAGCCTTTTACCATATGAACTTGTTCTCAATTTTAATTATCTTTATGATTTAACTGATGCTTAGCCCTTGTCATTTACTCCTTGTCTCAGTCTATAATTTTTGTCTGATTCAGAAAATACCCGAGTTGCAAAAGGAAATTGAACTGCTGCAGACACAAAAATTGGATGTTGAAAAGCAGGCCCAGTCACAAAAGCGAGAATTGAGGGGTAAGCTACATACTAGATAATTCAGAGAACTTACCAAGTACAATGTGAACCAGGCCAGTTTAAATTGGTTTCTTCCATGTTAGCTTTGACAAAAACCCAGTTCTCTTTCCCATCTCGTAGTGATTTCATTCTGTTCATACCTTTACTTGCAAGGGGGAAAAAGCCAACAGGCGAGTTCTACAAAGTGATCGCTGAATACTGAGACCTGGGGTACCCCTTTGAAGAAACTCTGATTTCAAACATTTCTCCTTTGTGTTTAAAAATCAATACTAATAATTTAAACTTCACTTAAAATTTAACAAGTAGCTTGTAGAGACCCAAGAATATGGAAACAATACATTATCTAGCTTTCATTCATGCTATCTTTAGCCTTAGGTCCAATAAACATCAAATATGCTTAAATAACTTGCTGAGTTGGGTTCTCTTTGGGAAAAGGTGCTTAATAAGAAGTACTACTGTTGCGCACTTTGTTCAGTGCTAACAATGCCATAGAGCAAATCTGTATCTGCAGCATTTAATGTAGTAACCTTGCCCTAGATGATGACACATTATCTATACAACTCTAGCAGTTGTCCAGATTCAGAACAGAAAGATGTAACTTTGCATTCAAAGTTTGATGTGTGTAGAAAAAAAAACAATATTGGTGGTATACCTAAGTCCCTCATCATATTCTTGTAGTAAATCAGATGTATTTACTGAGTACCAAGAAAGAAACTTGTAGATTTAGGAAGAGGTTGGTTTGATTTTTATAATCAAATTTCATTTGAAATGCGCAGAGAAAATTATTCATGTAGTGAACTTTTTTTCCAGAAAAGATGTCAGAAGTTACAAAACAGCTTCTTGAAAGTTATGATTTTGAAGATGTAAGAAGCAGGTAATTTTGTTCTGAGGTCTCTTTAAAAAAGCTTAAGAAATGCATTTTGTTCATCTATACACTAATGATACTGCCTTGTATCCTAGACTCTCTACGGAGGATTTGGAACACTTAAATGAGGATGGGGAACTTTGGTTTGCTTACGAGGGATTGAAAAAAGCTACAAGGTTAGTTCAGTTCTTCAATGTTTTCATAACTCCAAGCTGTGATCTAGAAAATAAACAGAAAGATCAGTGAGTAACTGATTTGACAGTGCAATACTGAAGATTTGTTTAAGAAATGAACAAACACTACATTATATGACTGGCTGAGCAGCTTAAAATCACTTTAACAAACTTTTACTAAGTCAGTGAGATAAGTGTGTATGTGTCAGTCGGGGAAATGTGTTTCCTCTGAGATATCATGCATAACGTTCAACTCCCTTAATGCACAGGTGATGTAATGGAATTGTCTGCGTGTTAACCACAGTACTTTGTTTTCACTTTGTTTTAAACTTGACCCATTGCATTGAGGTCGTACGACATCTGCCATGTTCTTTCTCCTTTTTTTAACAGAGTATTGGAAAGTCATTTCCAGTCTCAGAAAGAAATATATGAAAAGGAGATTGAAGGTTTGAACTTTAAAATTGAACATCTTAGCCAAGATATTAATCATCTACAAAAATTATTTCGAGAGGAAAATGACATAAATGATGGTATTCGACTTGAAGTTAGCAGGCTAACTTCAGAAAACCTGGTAAGACCAAGGTGTAGTAAAGCAAAGTATTTTTTTGTTACTTAGTAATACAATCCAAATGTCTTTGTGGCACAAAGCCCTCAAAAATCTTGCGTTCATGTCTTTGAAATCTCAAGGTTTGAACAGATACGGTCATCTAAGATTGCACATCCATACAGACTCTTCCCCTGCATGCTGGGGTAGTGTGTTAGGAGGCAGCCAAATTTATTGTCCGAGTGTACAGCTTGTTGGGGCAGCCTCACAGAGGCTTTTTCCCTTCTGTTTTGCGTAAACCTGAATTGAGGTTTGATTGTAATCATAGAATGGCAAAATACCATTTTACAAACTCTGGCTTGGTGCGTAGTGCACGCACAGGCTTTGGCTTCTCTTGTTGATAGCTAGGAAGACACTGAGAGTCTTTAGAATGCATTTGAACCCTTGTACGCTTATGTGGCTGAATATTCAGATTTTATAAAAGATGTTTTGAACTTCAAAATGTTGCCAGGATGTCCATTGCTGAGCTCATACAAATATTTTGGTTGTGCTTTTTGCAGTTTCTCAACAATGCAAGGAACTTTTGAGGGGTGTAATAATTTCTACAGATATGCAGCTTCATACTGGAAGTCATGAAGAAACAAGTATTTATTTAGGTTTTTTATTTACATAGAATTTTAACTAAAAAAAGAATCGGAGTTTTAGCAGTGACCAGAAAGTTAGCTCACCGTACCTTTTTTAATACCTACCTAATTTAAACTACTTGTTTGATAATTAAAAAAAATAGCTATTTTTTGGTCAGGCCATATATTTTTCTGATGGAACACTTTCGGTATTTCAGACTTAATGAAAAGCAGTTTTGTGATGCTGTAACTTCCTATGGGTCAGTATTATAACATACTGGGTCTGTCTGGGATGGGGTTAGCTTTCTTTGTAGCAGTCCATATGATGCTGCGTTTTGGATTTGTGGGCAAAACAGTATTGATAACACGACAGTGGTTTGGCTGTTGCTGAACAGAGCTTGCACGGTGTCAAGGCTTTCTCTTTTTCCTGCTCTGCCCCACCTCGGCAAGGTAAGCTGGGGGTGGGCAAGAAGTTGGGAGGGCACACAGCCCGGAGAGCTGACCTGAGCTGACCAGAAGGATATCCCCTACTGTATAATGTCATGCTCAGCTATAAAAACTGAGGTAGAGGAAGAAGAAAAGGGGGTGTTTGGCTTTATCTTGACTTTACCTTGACCCAGATGTTTTCTCACTTCTGCTCTTCCTATTCTCTTCCCTGTTCTGCTGGGGCGTAGAGTTGGGGGTAGGCGGGGAGTGAGCATCTCTGTGGGTGCTTGGCTGCTGGCCAGACAGGGTCAGCTCACAGCAACCAGCTTCAATTTCCATTGTACTGAGGCATTCAAGTTCAGAATTTAGTTACTTCATTCTTTCCCTGTAGTCAGAAGACAGAAGTTAGCATCTGTTTCTCAGAAGCCTCTTTAAAGCTATTTCTGTCTCTCAGGTTGACAAGTTCTATGATTTGATAGTGAAGAACCAGACACCTGTGGGATTTAGGGCAGTTACAGATTTGTGCAGCTCTGAGGCTCTCCCCACCAGAGGGCAGCTAAGCATATCAAGTTGCTAACAAATTGCAGGCAAGGCTTAAGAGTCTAATTAAAAAACCTGTCTAACATAAGGAAGTGCTATTATTCCAGAAGATAGTATATACCATATTATTTTTCTGCAGAGTGAAAAATAACTGAAGAAATATTTTCAAAACAAAGTTACTGAAATTGAAAATATAAGGAAAAGTTACTTATAATATTTTTTAAAAATGCTTTTATAACATACTGAGTTTTTTCCCAATGTTGATGGAGCTAGGGAAATTAAAGCCATGATGTAATTTCATTTAAACTAGAACAGAAGAATGGTAGTACTGGGCCAGTCCAAACATCTAGTTAGCTCACTATTTCATTTTTAAGAGTGGCCAGCAGCAGATGCCTCCAGGAAAATTAAACAAGTCAGGGAAGCAAGTAGCAGTACTCCCTCACAGTGTCTCCCCAGTCTTTGACTATTTGCAGTTGAAGGTCTTCCAGTGTTGTAGGAACTATTGCAGACATTTGAAAAGAAGGAAGGTGCTGAAGTACACAAATCTTCTTTTTCTCTAAAAGGTGATCCCAGATCTTAAACAGCAAGTTTCTGAACTTGAAAATCAAAAATTAGATCTCGAAAACCGTCTTCAAGAACACACTGTAAAGTTGAAAGGTAAAGTACCAATATGGTCCCTAGTCTTACAGTTGTTTAAGATAAACGTGATGAATTCCCTATATTTGAATTTTTAAAAGCTGAAGCAATATTACATGATAACTTCATTGCTGTATTACTTACTTTCTTGCTAGTAAAATGTAAGAAACACAATGAAAAAATGTATAATTTATATCTCCGTTACTGAAGAATAAAATATATGCAAGTATGTATATTTTTTCTTTTTTCAACCTTTTTTAGGTCATTCAGTGCTATGGTTTGGATGTCTGCAAGTGTGTTCAGTAGGGCTCTGCTAAGAATATGTGTAATGGAGTATGCCCTTTGGGAACAGTCATAAAAAGGAAAGATGCTTTGGAACTTAAGGCATACTCTATGAGGTAGACTTCAGAGGGCGTTGAAAAATTCAGAGTGGGAGATGGAGGGAAAAGTTCTTGCTAAATTTAATTGTTTGAAAGTTCTTCTCAATTTAGGAAAGCATACTTTGCTGAGGTTTCTGAGTCTCTCTAACTGAAGTGTCTTCCTAGACAATTGATTTAAAATTTGCAAGTAGTTTTACTGCCAACTGCAGGAAGTTAGTAGTGTCAAAAAATTCCTCATCCCATATAATCTTCTGTGTGGTGTGGAGTAGTCAGGTATTTCTCCGATACATTATCGGGCATGTCACTCAGTTTCGTTGGATGAAACAAAATTACGAGTGTAAGAGGAAATGTACTGAATACTAGTACAGAACAGTAAGCAAATGTGATTTTTTTTCTTTTTCTTTTGTTTTGGGTTTTGTTGCTAATTACTACTGAAAAAAATGAAAGAGATGTCTAATCGGCTGCATTATGAGCTAGAAGGGGATAGAACACAAAGACGGTAAATATTTTCTTTTTTTTTTTTTTTTAACGTAAGAAATGTAGTTGCCATAAGCTGGGGTAACAGAGTCACTTAAACTCTTTAAAGTACCACATCCAATGTAAGATTTACCTTACAGCCTTGCGTACAGTTAATAAGTAATGGACAAGTATGATACAAGAATGCTTTAACGAAAGAAGAGTAAGAGACAAAGTTTCCTATCTATCTATTCTTAGAACAAATGAGGCACAGAATGAAATAGACATAAAAGAAAAAGAGAGACTGAAAGTCACAACCCAAGAAATTGAGGGGCTGAGCAATGGTTTGATGCAAGATGAAATCCAGGATGAAGTAAAAAGCAAGATAAAGCAAGAAACAACTCGACTTACTGTGGAAAACATGGTGAGGAAATGAAACTGTCATTAAGAAACTGTACCTGAAATGCAGGATAAAAAGAAAGAAATCATGGTTTCCTGGTATGGGCAGGATGTTTTCCCAATTCACCGGGGGAGAAAAAAGATATGAAGGTTTCATGTTTCTTCCACCAAATATAAGTAAAAGCACATCATAGTGCTCCTTAATTGTGGCAATAACATGTAACAGTAGAAGACTTTTTTTAGTGGTGGTTGCTCTGAACTCACTAACTTTGATTATTACAGGATCTTGAAGAAAAACTGGACATGAAAGATAGAATAATAAAAAAATTGGAGGATCAGATCAAAACTCTTACCAAGACTATTGAAAAAAGTAAGATACTGTTACGTGATTTTATTTTTTTAAATACGGATTTGGATGTTCAGTGTGTGTTTGAAAGAAAGTATATTTAAAAAAAAGAAAAAGGTAGGGTTTGGGGTGGCATTAGAAATTTTAAAACCTCAGAAAAAAGTGCCAGGGAACCATCAACAAAAGCCCTTTCCTGTATGGTTTTTTTCCCAGCTAAATAATGGGTGCATATGGGACCTAGACTATACGATAAAAGATTACGCCAGAGGCATCAGGTTCTGTCAACAAAAGTTAATACATACCCTCACACAAACTGTCTCTGAGCCAGCAGAATGTTAGTTTTGCATCAGATGAGTATCTCCTCCCATGACCTTCAGATGGCAGATGGTTCCTGATTTAGTTAGTTTGTACAAAGCTCTTATACAGCAAGTAATTCTTCACTATAGAATACACTTCAAAACGTTGCAGAGGTGACTAATGTAGAGCTGTATTGTTACCGTTTATTTGTCTTATTAGTGCAAGTAATTCCACTGAATCCAGTGAAAATAATCACATCAATAACATAACTGTTATTTAACTCATAATGCTTGGAACAATAAGCTAAGAATGTTACTGTGAACAGGGCCCGTGCTCTGTTTATTACAGAGAAAACTGCTTTTCTCCAATAGTTTGTTCTAACGTGAATGTTAGCTTAGCCATTTACCTGCAGGTAACAGTGCTTTTGTATTTGACAGCTGAAGCTCATGTGCCAACTTTGTTCAAGGAGTATGTTGGAATGATGGAGTACAAAAAAGAGGACGAAGAAAGGATCGTTCAAAATCTGATCCTTGGTATTTTAGTAACACTTCAAATTTTATCAGTAGTCAATGATATTCAGTATAGAACACTACAACAAAAACTAGAAGGAACTATATTTCACTTATGTTCAAAGTTGCCTTTTTTCTACTCTCTTACCACTAATACGACTTGGAGGCTCTATATTGCTCTTTTTCTACTGCCAGTCATTTCAAATACAGAAGTGCTTTATCTGCATAAAAATCATTTGTCTGACTCTACATAATGCTGACTCTATTATCTTTCTTATTATTTATTCACTTATAAAGCTATAAATCTCAAGAGCGCTCCAGGGACTTGAATTTACTTTCTTCCTGGTCATCTACTAAGTCTGTAAGTCATTGGGCTTATATCCATGTGTGATGGATTACTCCCCTGTCTGTCCTTTCCATATCATTCTTTTCACTGTACTTTCACGTTTCTCTTGTAGAGGAATTTTGTCCTTCCTCTGAGTTATTTCACAATATCAATCTTACTACCAAAGGTAGTAAGGTACATTAGTACCTTAGTAAAGGTACTACATTACATTAGTAAAGGTACATTAGTACCCTTATAAACTACTGCTTGGAAACATCATCTTCCTTTTCTTGTCGTCTACTTCAGCCTTGTGAATGTTTATATTTTTGTGAACAAAGGTGTATCATTAAGCAATGCCAGAATTTGGTGGGGCCTCCAGTGGGTAGTTAAATACAAATTGCTTTTTGAAGTTGTGCTGTCTGGCATAGGCCATGCTGAATCTTAGAATTTGCTACAATACTCTCCTATTACTCTGGAAAACTTAATTAATACTCTTACGTGAACAATACTGTTACAGAAGTTTTCAAAAACAAGCAATTAATCAGTAAATCAATTACCAAGTGCCTGGTCACTGAAGAGATAAACCCCATAGTGCTTGTCTTTTTCAGAATGATACATTGAATTACTGAATTTTTGTATAATAAACCTGATGACTCTCCTTTATGCAGATTTAAAGCCACGTGGAGTTGTAGTTAATATGATACCTGGCCTTCCAGCTCACATCCTATTCATGTGTGTGAGGTATGCAGATTATCTGAATGATGCTGACATGCTGAAATCTTTCATGAATGTAACCATTGATGGTATCAAACAAGTTGTTAAGGTAGGAATTATGTTTGGTTGTACTGTGCTTTTTGATTTTTTTTTTTTTTTTTAATGTAAGGTTTACAAGATGCATGCATAATACCTGGGGAACGCTCACACTTTCATTGGCTAGTATTCCTCTAATAGAATAATAATAATTAGTGACACTCTCTTTGAAGTTTGTAGTAGTATCCCTGTTAAGCCGAGAGGTAAGATTCTACTGTGCTGAACACAGAATGCACAGAATGCATTAACAGAAATTATTTTTATCTGAAGAGCTTGTTGACAGAATCATTTAAAGTATTTTACATTTTACCATGAGTAGCTAATTAGGTGAGGTGCACCTGTGCTTTCATCACTGGTAAAAGTCGGATAGGCAGAAATGAAAGTTAGTATGTTTGGCAGAAGGCAAGTATCGGAATATTAAGAGGATTTTACACTGCTGTTTTACTAGTGTAATGTTTTTTTGACATGTCATTTGGTACTGCAGCATTAGTACCCAAACGATTAAAGTTATGTTGCCAGCCAGTTTTCAAAATCAAGTTATAAACAAGAATTATTAACCGGTTGTCTCATCTACATTACAAATTCAGCTATGTGAATGCTTTATTGTGGATTTATAATGCAGTAAAACACGAGGCATGCTTTCTAGCACAGGCAGGAATGGACTATGGTTTATGCAGTTGAATTTGTGGTATAGAGAATGCCTATAGTTTGTTCACAAGCAAATTTATACCACAGTTTATCCATTAGGAAAGCTTGTGTTTACTTAGCTAACAAAAATAAAACATACTTACACATAGTTAGAATTGTGCTTATATGTAGTTTTGTTTGTGTATACAGGCATTGTTCACACTTTTTTGCAGGAAGGCCTCTGGTACACTACAACACTATACATAGAAATGTGTAAAACTGTTTGTTTCGGTCTTATTTAGCCAGTCTGTCATTTAAGAAGACTTAAATAGTGTTTACCAGATAAAAGAAGGATCTTTGCTATGTGTATATTAGCATGAAAACACAGCATGATTTGTTCAGCTAGCATGTTATAGATGCTGTATGCTCCTTCTGCTATATATGGGCTCTATTATACCAATTCTATAGTGGTCTTAAGTTTAGTTATTAAAGTAACTTCATCAGGCAGTACCCTTGTAAGATTGCGTTACTCATCATTTTCAGGAACATTCAGAAGACTTTGAGATGTTGTCATTTTGGCTTTCCAATACATATTATTTTCTTAACTGTTTGAAGCAGTACAGCGGGGAAGAGGTAGGAATGATTTCATCAAATAATTCCATTACTTTACTTGTGATAGACTTCAATCAGAATTAAAAATAGTGATAATAGGTAATTATTCACCAGTTCACCACTGTTGCTTCCAGATACTTAGATATTCATATTGCTCTGCAGTAATGTTATATGTCTTACACAAATAATAAGACAGTATAGAACTAACAGATAAGTGAAATCAAGGAAATGTTAAAGTGCTAAAGTAGGTTAAAGACATGACGTGGAAACTGCTACTTAATTTGAACTCTTCCACAGGAGTTTAATGTGAGCTGGACTTCAGAGTCCAGCTACATACGCATATAAAGAACAGTTTTACTATTTTATAATTGTGACCATTCAAACACCTACTGCTACCAATATGAGATTACAGAAGAAAACCTCAGGAAAGGAGCTAAACAATAAAATACCCATTTTTTTTCCTTACTTCACTTGCTTGTTTAAGCTAAGTTTTATCCTGAAATACAAAATTCTTCTAAAGTCTTTTAAATTGCAAACTCTTACTATATTTTATTCCTAGGTTTTATAAACTTAGGTAGACTGAACTGAAATTGCATAGGCACATCTGAATATAGTCTTCAGGATTAAAGCAAAGAGGTACCATAAAGCCTTGGAATCACTGTGTACTCTCTAAACAGCAGTACTCCCTCTTGTGGTCATATCGATAACATCTAAAGAGCAGTGGAGAATTGAAAACATTCAAACTTAATTAATA